TTTCTCTTTATAAAGCTCTGTGTTTTACTTTTGATTCCCCGCGATTGAAATGTTTTGATACCTCGGCAGTCTTTTATTGGGTCACTCTTCTAGCAAGCTACGGCAAATATTTGTTTTGAAATCTTTATATGTTTACATTGGACTATAACTGCCACCAATACCTTTGTCTTTTTAATGTTGGAAAGTGTCAACGACCATATACAGTAATCTGAGGGTGTTTGGAGAACTTAAGTATTTTACTGCTGATATTTTTGTTCGTAGCATTCTAGACCAAAGGTTCTTAGAGATTGTGAATTTTCTAGCTATTTCACTTAGAGATTGTGAATTTTCTAGCTATTTCACTTAGAGATTGTGAATTTTCTAGCTATTTCACTTCAATCTTATATGAATTTGTTGTGTACTTTTTTTTTAAATGTGCATTTGGATAAATAAGAAGTGTGAGTACCATTCTACCAATATTTCATTTCTACAGTTTTCTTGTTTAATAATACATGTTTTATATGGTAATAAAAGTGATGATGTCACAATAAAGTTGAAAATAACTTAAATATATAAGGTCAGTTAGCAGGAAAAAAAGGCAATGGCTATCCAGAACTCGTCATTTGAGTCCTGGCTGCGGCATGCCGATTTTTTAAATGTGATTTTTCTGTATGTGTATATATATATAGATATATTGATCTATAAACTATTGGTGTTTAACTTGGAGTTTTACATTAATGTTTCAGAAGACTGTTGGTTACTGATTTACTTATGCTTGTACATTCATAAATTATTCACAATGATCGCTTCTAGAGATTGCCAGAGATTGCTTTAATCTGTATTTCTTGTAAGTCTGAAATTCTGGCTCAGTTGAATAATTATTTGATTAATTTTACATGTTCATTTTGATGAGACATCATTTATTAATTTCATGTGAAAATTTCTTCTTCTTAATGAATAATAGTTAATAGTCACAAAAATTACAAGATATTTAATGATCCTGGAATTTCGAATTGTTCATATGGTAATACTTTTAAAAAAACGATGATTTGTTACTTCTTGAAGGAAAAAATCTATGTTAATTATATAGTAATTTATCAATATGTTTTATTAGTGTACAGTCATGGGTATAGACCTAGATAGTCTGTACATGTTGTATGTGTGGCCAAATGGTCTGACCTTTCAGGGATATAATGTTTGACAAGAGCATGGAATATAAGACAATGAAAAATGATAAAAGAATTACAGGAATGTGTTTGGGATCAAAAAGTTCACATATATTATATTACTATTTATCTATATATGGATATAGCAGAACAACTTTTTCATTAAATTAGCTTAGATTGGTAAATCTTGGTCACAGTCCAAGGGAAATACATGGAATATAAACACAGTGACCCAGTCTATTAAATATCAAACACTGTGGAACCAGTCTACCTTGTCACGGTGGGGGTGAAAATAATTGACTAACAAGGTAAATGATATTATTCCGGTCTTTTATGTGGCCAACACTATCCGTGCTTAATTGATCTATATACCTTCAAAGACTTTTTATAATATCCCTCTATACTGCTAGTAATTGTTTAATTGTTTAACTTCTGTGTTGAAATTGTAAATGTTTAAAGAAGTTCAATATAATTGAATTGATTATAGACAAAGTTCTGATATAGCTTCGTTAACTTATTGATTTTTAACTTTTCATTGATCTAAAATTAACTCCTATGCTATATTGTTTAACACCAGAATTTTTTAAGGACAAGATAATATATATTCAAAAAAAAAGAATAAAAAAAAGATAAGTTTATTTTGAATATGGAGTGAAGAACAATTTATGAAAAGGATCTTTTTATCTTAAATTTGAGGTATTGTTTCTCAAAAAGAAACGATGATTATCTACAGTGCATAATTAACGAAAACATTTTGCGTGAACAATTAAACATTGGAAAAATATGCGAAAACGATTGTTGAGGTAGGACTTATTTATATATTTGGATATTACGCCATGTCTGTTAACAAATATATTGCTTTGTGGTATTTTTCTTTTCATAACGACATGTGATTATTCAGAAAAAAGGATTTTATGCTATATAAACTGGCAAAATTTCTTTGTTACAAATTTCATAAACTGTATGTATATTATCATGTTAATGTCATTTTCAAATGGTCATTCCTCAAAAATAAGTATTTTACTACGTTGTTTCACACATGAATATTGTAAATTAATAGAACTCAACATTCCTGAATATTGACCATATTGCTAATAGAAATTTGGATTTCGCGATGATTCCTTGAATGCGTTGTTTATTGCACTGTGAGTAATTTAAAGAAAGCAGCATTATTGTTTTAGTTTAGTTACACTTAGACTTTTACACGTGACAACTTTTCTTAAGCTGGTTAAGTCATTTCATTACTTAGGGGCTCTTAAGTCTTCATGAATTCTTTAAATAAATATAGGTAGGTAAACTTTGTAACAGGTCACTTGTGAGGATTAATATGACAGGATTACAATAAACGTATTACAAGAATATTATCAGTCGTTAGTTAGTACTGTGTCACCTGCTGACCCCTGGTGTTGAACAAAAATATTGACAGAGTAAAATAATGTTTTGTCTAGACTAGTCTTTTACAAAAGAAATGTCCATTTGAGTGCAATAATGTTTGTTTTCATATTATATTTTGCAACCTTAAAATTAGATGAAAGACTTATCAGGTACCGGTATGTATGTCTTGATAAAATTTCAATATAAAGGCATTTTTTGAGCCTGTGGCAGATAAAGTGTAAGTGATATAAGGAGTAAATAATCTTTTATAATTTCATTTTTATCTTAAAAACTATTTAATGTGCTTTAACCTTAAAATATTGTTGAGATTGGTGCCTTAAGTGAGTAATAAATGAGCAAAAACCTTAGCCTTTTTGATACAATTATGAACTCTAAGCCTGTAAGCCACAATAGATTCTTATCATGTCAGCCGGCATTATGCAAAATGTTTGTGCTTCTTAATTTTTTTGTCCACCAAAAAATCAACAGTTGAACAAAAAAATATGTAAGGTTTTCTTTTTGTGGTACCAAATTATAATCTGCAGAAATTGATCTACAACCTTGGACAAACATGTCCCCCATTCAGTTCTGACTCTTCTTTAACCCTTCCTATACCAATGTTATCTACAGCAATCTTAGTATGACACTTTTATAATATACAAAAAAGTTTTTCAATTGTATCAAAAACACTATAGAACGTAAAAGTTTAGCTATTTAGTTACTCAATGCGGCCTGTCCTTGTGTTCCATGGCCAGCAGTCTTTGACCTATGATTCAACCCTTGATTATATTTTATTATTGATTGAATTAGTTTTTACCTGATTAATTTTCAAGTATTTTTATGGTTCTCTGAAAAATTTAAAAAGATTATTAATTTTACAAGTTGATAAGGATACATTCATTTGTTACAGTATTATTAATGTTTAATTTTTGAGTGCTACAACAGATTTAATGACACAGAGTGGTGACCGAGTAGTTAAGAGATCTGCCACTCAACCCAGTGGTTGTAGGTTTGAATCTTACTTGGACCATGACCAACTGTTTCCTCACATGACACCTGAGTACTGGTTAGTTCCAGAAAGCAGGCTTGAGTGTTGTTCTAGTAAGCTCAAAGATTTTTTCCACAATCGAGCTTAAATAGATCATGTTAAAACTTAAATGGCACAAGCCAGTTTAGATCTTCAGGTAGTGTCCAGCTATATTACATTCATAGTTGTTCTACAAGAACTCTGTTCATGACAATTACACAGTTATATCAATCATATCAAGAACTTTGTTCAAGACAATCACAATTGGTCATATCAAGTCTAAAGTTAAGGTTCCCTTGAGACAGATATTCCTATCTGAAATGCAACTTATGGCAGAATCATTTCCAATGTATACTTACATTGCTTGTCCTTGAGTATTAAAATATTAGTGTCCTTGAATAGTTGCAAGTCTCACAAGGATGTCATATTCTTTTGGTTATATTTTTATTGACCTTGAACTTGCTGAATTTGTGTTATGGATTAACCAGGTGGCCAGTTTTGAATTTGAAACATTCAGTTAAAGTGAGCTACCTGAACAGTTTTAAACACGGAAATAAGCGCTGGCCTAACTCTATACTGGTGGCAGAGGCTCAAGTTACATTGTGTTCCATGGGATTAAAAAACTTTGGCACATTAAATGTTATAGAAATGGGTCTAAATTTGCAGTATGATTTTTAATATTAATTATAGAGAATTATGCTGAGAAAGTTTTCATCCAAACAGATGCTTGATCATTTTGATAAACAAATCACTCAGTCCTGATTTTATATTTTCTGTGTGCGCCAAAATATGTAAGCCAAGACAGGATGTTTGCTGCCCGTTTTAAAGATAGAGTTTCTTATAGAGACTCTACTTGGCACACTGGGAGGAAATCTCTTCTTTTAGATAAACTTTTATAAAATTTTGATACCATTGATGCATTTTTCCTGAGGTGGCCAACTTTTTTTTATCGAAGAATAAAAATAAATTGTGAAGATGTTTTCGTGGTAACTTTGTGCGTCATGTGATATCATATGGTTTTTCTTATCCTTGTACTTTGTAGTGTTTATATCAGGTGTTAGACCACCATGTTGCAAATTGTTTCTTACATATTCCCCTACCTGAAAGGTTCTAATAATCACACTGATTTACTGCATGTCAATATACCTTTCAATAGCATAAGACTGTTTTTATGAGAGATAAAAGAAATGATTTTTTTTTTGTTTTAAAAGACGTTTGAGAAATTTTTTAAATAGTCTGTTTTGTGCCATAAAATAAATTTGTTTAAACTTAAAAACATAGAATAAAGGTATATTGAGTTATACTTATTGAAATATATAAGTAGAACATATTTTCATACATAGAACAATGTCAAACAGTCATTGCTATATAATATATTGATTGGTTATTAAGATTATGATATAGGATATTATTATTCACTGATATTAATGTGTGTTTATGTTTTATATTTTCAGTGGTGGTAGACGAGGTTCGGTACAGTCCGGTAGCTCATCTGCTTCTACGTCTGCTGCAGCTTCATCTACACCTCGACTAGCCCAACATGGAGACAACACTAATCCAGCTACCCCACCCACCTCATCATCAGAAAGCTCAAAGCCTGGTCTGAAAGGCTGGGCAACAGAGCATGATCTTACATCGTCAAGGAAACCAGTCATTATGTCTGGAAGTCATATGACAAGAAATGTGCCATTAACTCCTGCTAAATCATCACCAAGTTTAAATCAAGATGACTTGGTGAATACAGTGACTCCTAGAGGTTATAATCCAAAATCTCCTACATCATATACTATGACAAAATCTACAACAGACATTCCTGAAAATGTGAATAATTATGAAAATGTGACTTCACCTACAAGTCCCAAAAGTCCCTCATGGTATCAGCAAAAATTACCTAATAGATCTGTGTTTGACTTTTCTTCTTCCGCTTCTGGCAGAAGAACTAGTCCTAGAAATTCATACGCTGGAAGTAGTCCAAGGAACTCTTATGCTAGTGGAAGTCCTAGAAATTCTTATGCTAGTGGGAGTCCTAGAAATTCATATGCTGGATATTCTTCATCTTTTGTGCCTTCAAATTACCCAACATCCCCTGTGTCAGGGTTTGCTCCTATGTCAATATCTGGCAGTATGTTTTCACAATCTTCTACAGACTCTAGTAGAACTGGTGCAAATTATGGTCAAAATCAAAAACATTCTGGTGCAAAACAATATAGTCATGATGATACACCTACTCATACATCAAACAAAAACTATGATCGTAGGTCGTTACCGCCACAAGCATTACATCAGTTTAGACAAGAATTTCAGAGAGAAAATAAACAAGAATCGCCAAAGCAATTAACGAGCATGCCCGTGACTCGAGAAGAGGAGGAACTTGACAAGGAAGTTCGGGATATAAAACCTGGTCCGCCTAATGATCTAGACACACGTCCAATGTATTCTCCCCCAGCGCCACCTGTTAGAGACATTTCTAGCTTGAAATATGTTTCTTATAGACAAAATCATGAAAAATATCCATCATGGCCTGTGACTGCAGCGCAGCCACCGCAAAATCTTGGTCCTCCTATAGATACACAGCAAAGTGAAAAAGGGAATGAAAGTGAAAATAGTGCAAGAAGTGATAAAATACAGGTTCATGTAGTCAAACCTGAAGGTAAAAGAAGTCCCAGTGTAGATAGAAGGAGTAGTGAAGAAAATAAAACGCGAAATCAAAGTGATCCTGGATTTAAGCAAAAGCCAAAGAAAAACTTTTATACAACCAGAAAGCCAAAAGAACAAAGCCCTGAAGAGAAGAAGCCAGAAGGTGAAAGATTTGATGAATTTTGTAGACAATCTAAGCCAGGATATCCCCCACCAAAGCTTGATCCTGATGGCCATAACTATGGTGATGAAAAATACAGTATTCCTTCCCCGCCAGAACGAGACATGCCAAATCTTGATGAAAAGTCTCTTGTAGAGAAAATAGCAGCTGTGATTTCACCAAATTCTTCTTATCAACCAGTTTACCACCATACATTTCAGTACAATATGGCAGCTGAAAATAGCCAGCCAAGAAACCATAAATCCGAGGCCTCTTCAAGTCAAATGTCAAATTCACAAGTATCTAAATATGCTGGAACATATTTCCAACAGGCAATGAATGCCCAAAATTTGTTACGCCCAAATAGTTTGTCTCATAATAAAAACATGGTAGACTCTGGAACTAGTCCACTTCAAAGTCCAAATGAAGACCGAGGTAAATTTTTAAGGACACTAAGTCCACATCCACGAAGTGAAACTGGCATCTCCTCTTCAGATAAGCCAAGGGGGGTAATTGTAACTCAACGGCCATATTATAACACAAGACACGATGATGAGATTTTTAAAAAAAAAAAAATAATCCATACCGGGTGACACAGGATTAAATTCTTTATCATCTGTTGCTTCATCTGTGTCAACTATGAGGTCTGAAACTTCTTCTCACAGTTCAGGAATTGGGACTATGACATTCAGTGACCACTCAAGTGCCCCAATGTTGAGAAAGTTATCAGAGGAATTTTATCGGGGAAAGTTATCAGGAACTGTTCCTAACGAAAAAAGGATGTCCTCTGCTTCCACCTATGAGGAACTAAAAAGTCCGCGTGATTCAATGTTTGGTGGTATGAAAGAAGCAGAATCATATAGTAGTGTTGTGATACATGCACATGAGTCTTCAGGAATATTCGGTAGGGATGATGTAGGCTCAAGTCCAAGTATTAGTTCTAAACCTGAAGTTTCAGACAGTGAACATGAACTGTATGGTGATAATAGGCATAAGGCACGCTACAGCATGGACTCTGCCACAATGTTGCAAAAACACCCGGGTGGCATGAATATGCCTCCGCGAGGTCTGAATGAGTCAAGGTTTACATCGGAGAGTAATTTATCAGGTGCAAGCTATAACCAACGTCCCCACAGTCAAAGTTTGATACACCTGAATCGTCCATCGTCATCACTAGGGGAGGCGAATCAGTCTCGGCAATTTTCTCAAAGTACGTATTCATCATCATCGTCATCATCTAGGCCACATGGCTCAATGGAAGCACGATCCTCCGGAAGTCGTGTTGGTTCAGATTCAAGTGCAAAGGGAGAAAAAGGGAGAAATGGATCTGATTCAGTATTCTATGATAGAAATTCACCTGTGTCTCAAGATAGTAAGAAAGATAGTGCTAAAAGTGCTACTTTAGGTAGAAAAGAAAGTATGAAAATGGCTTATGGAACTTACGATGAAAATGAACATCATTATGCCACACCGTATGGCCATCAGCGAAATAGTAGTGAAGTGTTATCCCCAAATGCTAACGAGACAAATACAGTACATGGGAGGTCCATGTCATTTAATGATTACATGCCTATGCACATGGCCCAAAGTGAGGCTTACCGTCTAGACAAAATAAAAGAAGAAGGATCAGAAATCAGATGGCAAGAAGCTGTCAAAAAATCTAAGTCATTGTCAAGAGTGAATACTTCAAATTATGAGAATATTTCAATAGGCTTGAAGGAAGGAACTTCGAGCAGAAGTAGTGACTCTGAAAGGTCAGACACTGATAAGAAAAAAGAATCAAAAGGTTTAAGAAGGATTGTGTCAGAACAGTTCAGGCCAAAAAAACAAGATAAAAGTTTGCAGAGAAAGAGTGATTCTAATAAAAGTGAATACAATTCAAGTGGGGGAGAATCTTCAAAGGGAAATAAATCTGATGGTGAAACTTCACAGAAAGTTTTGTCTCATCAAAACTTTTCAGACTCTGATCTTAAAAGCGTACAGCAAAGAGCTTTGTTAGATTTTGTTGAGAGAAAAAGTGATAAATCAAGAAGTTCAGACAGCTCTGAACCTGCAAGTCCTGTAGTTAAAGATACTTCTCCAGGATATCCCCCACCCCCTCCCCCAGCTGATAGTGCTTCCCCAGTAAACACTACAGCAGTTCCCCAACAACCTGCCTCTCCATTTGCTGATATAACCAAACGTTACAACTACACAAAAGCTCAACGCAATGAGAGTTTACGCAGAACACAATCCATTAATCCAATTCATGCGGGATTCTGCCCCCGACTATTTGGATATTTAAAAAGGCAGAGCGCAGCTATAACAGTGGATAGACTTCCCCTCAGGGGGAGCGTTACCAAGAGCCCTTCAATTGGGTCGGACATCAGCGGGTTTTATCATCTAAACAATCACCAAATCGAAAAAGAGACCCACACCAAAAAAAGCTCAGGAAACCTACCAAAAAAGTAAGCTTAAAATTATTTCATATTTTTCTTATAAAAAAACTTTTTTTAAGTTTTAAATTTTTTGAAGATTTGGGGTGAGTGTGGAAAAAATTTTTGGGCAAGATTTCGGCAAAAGGGGTTTTTAATGTAAAAGATATCCCTCCTCATCTGTGTCTAAAGATATTATTATTTATTACCAATGTCTAGATTGCTAGCAAGAAAGTGTCTGCAAATAATATGATTTATTTTTACCTATCTCTTCTTTTATTTAAAGTATTTACCACCTTTTTTCGGTAAACTATAATTTATTATATCCTGTGAAAATCTTCTTAAATGTTTTCTTAAAATATACTTGCCTGAGACTCTTTTATCTGTGAATAAACATTAAAATGAAATGAAAATAACAATAATAATATGTCTTATTGCAGATTCTAGCTGAACAAGACAGACAAGAACAACTACCAGATCCGAGGTAAGTGCTGTGTGAATTTAAAGAAAGATAACTATGTATAGGTTTATCTATTATAGTTAGTAATATTAGCCTCCCTTGTCCAGTGAAATACTCTGCATAATTCTTTTTCCTTGGATAGTGAAAAAAAAGTATGAAAATTTCTCAGTATTTAATTGTATGTAATGTATTCTATGGGTTTCATTTAATTTACATGGTGGCTGAATATTTTAAAATGGATAAATGTTTTATAAAATTCTGGTGCATTTCCATCATCTGATTTTGTAGTGGGTACTTCTCAAATTAAGGTTAAAAAAGAACACTTTTGTAAGTTTTTTTTCCATGTATGGGGCTTTAAATTTGTTTTTTCATCTGTTTTTACGTTTTACCCTACATAAAAGTCCATTATTTGTATTTAAAAGTGAAATTTCAGAATATAAAAATAGTAATCCCATTAAACAGGAAAGCAAAACAAACAAAGGGAGGGGGATTTAAAAAAATTTTATATCATTTTAAATATTTAAAAAGATATTTTGAATGAAGAGAAATTTAATTTTGGGGTTAAACTTTTTTTGGCAATATGTTTTGTATAATATAGTATGATCACATTCTTTAACACCAGGTGATCATTTGAACTCTTTGTATATGTTAATATACCATAACAGAAAATGAAAGTCATTCTATTCTGCCATTTACATAAATATTGATATAAAGAATATTTAATGATAAGACGAAGTACTTAAGTTGGCATTACATGTATACGTTTTAGTCTGAACTAATACAAATACAAATAGTTTGGTTGATGGGCCCAGTGGTTAATGTGTCGGACATGTATAGTCTAAGGCTTGCTAGCTGGGTTGGTTCAAACCCTGTCGGAGACTAGCCATTGTTGCTATGACTTTAACACTGATGGCTTAGTACTGGTTGGTTCCCAGGAATGGATTAGAGAATGATTCAGGAAGCTTATAGTAAAATAAAATAAATTCTGTATAAACTAAACTAAATAGGTGTCATCTAAGAGACCACTGAGTCTGGTCTATGATATATGGAAGGTTAAGCGTTAAATTTGTCATACCTGAAACTCGAAGTCATGTAACCATTACTACAGTACTTTAAATTTGAATAATGTAAATGTCGTGGTTCAAATTTGAAACCATCCTTTCAAAGTTTAAAGGATTTCAATATTAATATAGGGAAATAGAGCTGTCAACAGTACAGTTGGACTATGCGGGCAAGTGTTGCTGTATACTGAAGGCAATGGCTCTACTTACGCTTCCAATGGGCTAAAGGTTAAAGTTGGAACTGTCCTTTGTTAATGTTCATCATTTTTAAAAATATGAAAAATAAGAAGCAAACTCTAAAAAATGCCAGTGATATATCAGACTGCATGGATGTACACAAGAGCTGCCTCTATGCTTATAACATAGGTGCTTTTCATTATCGCCGCTGGCATACAAGGGTTGATCAAGTTATATTACATTTTGGAGGTCAGGATAAATCCTTACCATGAAAGTAAATGAAAATAAAGCCAGTGATGATTTAGGTTAACGCATATCTGTGAACAGTTGAACTTATAAAGTAACATAAGTAATATAATGTAGCAAATAAAATGACATAATTCAAATCAAAATGAAAAGAAAAATGTAATAAAATATATATGTTATTTTGCAATTTATAGATTAAAACTTGACTTGATCTATTTAAATGGAAAACAAAGTGGAAAAACATCTTGTTTTTAAAATTCCTTTGTGATCTGATAATTTTTTGACAAAAATATTAGTTTGTTTTGACAATTAAAGTTACTCTTCTGATATGCACAACTTTTATTCACCCGATTAAAAAATTTTGGATTTTTTTTTAACCATTTTTGTTTTTAATGAAAAAAATTTTAAATAATAGTTTAAATTTGGGGGAAATTTTTTTTTTAACTTCTATCAAAAAAGATGAAAACTCAAAATTATTCTGAACTGTCAAGTTTCATTTAGAATTCAATGTTTGGGTTTTTAAATTTTTTTAAAATTTTTACTAAATTCTGGGAAAAAAAAGTCCCCCAAAAACAAAGTGAAAAAACCCCAAAATTTTTGGAAAACTTCGATCAGTTTTATTTGAGTCTAAAAAATGCAACAACTTTTTATTTCCCTTTGGGCACGCCACAGTTAATTCATCAAAGGAAAAAATGGAAAACAGAAGTTTATTCAAATAAAAAAAAAAATATTTTACTTAAAGGCTAGATGTTATAATATTGACTTTAATTAAGAAGATATTAGAAATACCTGTAAGCTAAATAATATGGTCAGTTTGACCTAGGCAGTTATCTTTCTAACCTGTTACTTAAAAATTACTACAACAAAGTTTAGCTTGTCAGCATAATTTATGAGGTTATGTAAATTCTTGCAGCATGTATAGAAAGTCAAGCTAACCAACTGTTATCATTTTATCTGGACTTACACATCTCTTCATACTGTTGCAATTAAAATTCCAACTAAATCTGCCTTGTCATTGAATTGGTTCTACCTTTATTAATTGCTGGCCGCAGTGAATCAGTAAAAATCCTCGCGCAAACACAGGACTGACCCCACCAGTCGACCATTAGCTCCGGACAAACATGTTCGCAAACATCGCCATATTGTGCGAGGACAAATATTATACATTCTTTCTTGATAAACACTGTATGTACACAATTGAGTGCAGGATACGATTTAATTATATATTACATGACTTTGAGCGACAAATATTTCCTGCAAAGATCAAAAGAGATTGAGTAACGCTGACATGGTAAAAATCAACGTTCCGAAAAACGATTTTGAAAAATAAAAAAAATTGACATTCTGGTTACATGGTCTGATTACGTAGGAACAGTTAAATAAAAGAACATGGTAAATTATTGAATGCATAAACCCCTATTTAATGAGGAATAAAATATTTGTAGGTAATATAAAATACATTTTACATACTTTTGACAGGTATATGATGATGTTACCATGACGATGAACAATTTTATTTCTATGTCACTACAAATTTTTATTTTTGCGCCAGACAATGTAATTTCCGACTTGTCAAGCATGTTTTAACATCTTACTAATCATATCTAAAGAAGACTTAATCGTAACATATGATTTTTCAACGGGATACTTTAGGATAGTTTTAAAAACAATATTGGCTCAAGACCAGAAGAAATTCTACAGATTATAATTATGCATAAAGTTTTTGAAAAAGGTCCTGATTTGTCTTTGTCCCTGTGTTTTCTATATGAATAATGAATGTTACTCATTCAACAGTTTAAGTGTGTTGTAATGAATTTCCAAGTTAAAGTCATATGCTTGTGTTGAGGCGACTGCGCCAGTCCATCACTATTTCCACCTGTTCATCACAATGTTAAACATTGGAGCTCAAACAAGCAACAATACACACCTGTGACAGATGTATGCCACTAGTTATACTTCTTGTCATACTGACTTGTCATATTATAGTCAGTAAACCAAACTTATACATGATGAAATCTCCTAACTCTTGAGTCTGCAGGGCCGGTTAATACCGTTATGAATTGTATTCATATGACTGCATTGACGCAGACCAAGATCAGCTGGCACATCCATGCTGGCCAATCATGGTTTGCACTGTTCACTATTCAGTAACAGTACATATCTTCAGATTTTTCCTAAAAAAAGGATTAATGGTTTTGTCCAGATTGAAAGTCCAGATTGAAAGATGGCCGAAACTATTTTAGACAGTTATAGTGTAAGTAAAAGACAATTCCACAAAGTCAAAAGGGAACAAGTTATTAGCTAGTTAAACATCTATGTTAAACTTCATGAAATATCAAAATACTAAAAATGGTTATTATATAGATGTATAAAATACATGTGCTGCATATATGAAGCGTATATAATATAGCGAATATTTCATATATAATTATATACAGTAAATACCTGGTGTCACCTGTCTCTTAGAAGATGGAATGTCATTGTGAACAACTACTATTGGGACAGTGACAAAACATTGTTTACTTTTCTTACTTTATATACTTTATACATAAATACATCTTTAAACACTTGATATGTAAAGTTGATATTATATATGTACTTCAAAATAACTGATGACTGGGGGTTACCTACAGGGTAAAAAAGAATAAAGAATGACTATTTTGAGATTACTTTAAGATAAATTCATTTCATGACAATTTTATTTCTAGTCTGGCTTGAAGCCAGTCTGTGTTTTGTGATACAGTCGTACAAAAACAACAACAACAAGATAGCTTCCTTTATAAATGTAACAGTCTGTTATTATTTTAATAAAAGTCATTATTACAAAGTGGAGCCTAACTGGAAAACAAAGCTGTACATGCATGTACTAAGTTCTTTCAGATTTTTTTGGGTTATCTAGTTTAAGTCTTTGGAACCATATTGACTTGACTTGTAGAGAAAATAATGTTTCCTTGTTTATTTTATAAATTTTCTTGTGGTGAGAACTGGCAGGGGCAAGCTGTCGAGGTTAAAGCAACATCTGTTAATGGTATGTAATTGATGGCAGTCAGTCTGCCTGTCTGACTGAAATTGACATGAAGTTTGTTACTTTCTTCACAATTTATTTGTTGCTATTACCCATATGTGAAGTATTAAGTAATCAGCTCTCTATGAAAAATGTTCATAGATTTCTATAAGAAATATTGAAATATTGGTAATGTTTATAATGTTCAAAGAAGTTGTTAATACTTTCATTGATAAGGACTTATAGGAGAAGAACGTTGAAATGTTGTTTATAAACACAAATATGTTGTTATTGATGTTAATGAATAAGCATTTGGATTTGAATCAAGGTTGCATACATTTAGCATATAAAAGAGATATTTTGTCTGAGCTGTTTCAAATTCTTATAAACATATGGCAAATTCTTAGAAACACAAGTGGGCTTATTTTAATTGTAAGTTAGTCTAAATCAAATTAGTTTTTAATTAAAAAGAAGTGTGTCTTGTTTTCGCATTTACTGATATGATTGTTTCCAGATGCCAGCATGCACTTCACCTT